GGGCACCCGTCTTGAGACTGTTTTGACTATACAATTTCTTGTACAAGATTTGATACAAGTTCTTATAGAATTTAAATTGTATAAGATCACACAGTAAATTGTTTGACAAGTGTAAATTAAAAATTTAAAAAAACCGACTTCAAAAACGTGCAGATGCCATCACAACATCTTAACCAAATTTATATGGGATCACCCCTGAGGTACCCCCTTACTAACAAAAAAAAATCATATAAATCGGACAAGGTAGTAAAGCATTATCGCTAAACATACATAAAAAATGAAGAGTTTGAGGATTTTCTCATGGACAAAATTTTTAGATTTTGACCAAATTTATAAGGGACCACCCCTGAAGTAGCCCCTTTCTAACAAAAAAAGAATTATTGAAATCGGACACCGTGTTAAAGAATTATCGCTGAACATACATAAAAAAAAAAAAATATCGCGACGAATTGATAACCTCCTCCTTTTTTGAAGTCGATTAAAAAATATCGCGACGAATTGATAACCTCCTCCTTTTTTGAAGTCGGTTAAAAAATGATTATCCAATCTAATTATTTAGACAATTTACTGCAGATTTGATAATATACAATTTAAATTGTACAAGAAATTGTATCAAAAACTTGTGTAGTCTAAAACAGTCTTAAAACAGTTTTTAAGGGATTCTTACTTTTGAAAATAGGCATAAATTTAGAGGATTTTCATAAAGAATTGTAACTGATCTAGTTATCCGATGTCATTGAAAAAAATGTATATTGTATAAATAATTGAAACTTAGATTACTCTTCATTTAAAATTTTCCAAAAATCAATAGGAGACCCATTAAAAAAATTGAAAGTCGGCTTAAACTCGCCCAAGTTCAAAAAATTAACATGCGTATATATTTATAAATATCAAAAAAATAAAAGAATAGCAGACTTTTATTATATATTCTTAATATTCTTTCAAAATTTCAATTAATTTGATGCGTTAGAATTACCAAAATTCCGTATTTAAAATGCATTGTTTTTAATGCCAAATCCAAGCCTATACACTTCTATCCTTCGCAATCTTTCCTTGTTGTCATGACCTGCAACAAGTGATCCTAGGGATTCAGCGATAATATTATAACATCTGTAACAGATTTTAGCTTTTATATCGATGCCGGTCAGTGCCAGTGGTGTCTAGTTTTTAGTGGTGATATTTTGTGATTTTTATGTGTTCAACTGTGCAATAATGGGAAATAAACAAAAATTGAAAATAAGTAGCCATAGAAAAAATAAGACTTTAATTGCAAAGAGAAGGTGAGTATTGTTTTTATTATTATGATGATAATTAATTAATTATTATTAATATTATTATTATTATTATTATTATTACTATTGTTATTAATTATTATTATTATTAATAATAATTTTATAATTATTTAAAATATGGTTTGTTTATGGCGGCTTAAATATCAATTTTTTTCCGAGTTGGATAAATTTTGATATGGGTAGTTTTTGGGGTCGCTAGTTAAAATTAAAAATACAGGGTGTTTCAAAAGTAATGGAACTCAGAACAGAGGCAGATTATTTACATAAAACTATGAAATTTCACACTTCATTTGTGGCAGTCCATTTGTATTTTATTAAAAAAAAAAACTGTAGCTTTACCCTATATGGACCTTGGGTAAATATTTTTTGAGTTTATTAAAATTAGGTATAGTGAGATTTCACTAAAAATCTAAGTAGTGGAACTCATTATGATATACTTAACAGAATAATTTTTAGAATACTAAGGGCCAATTAAAATAATTAAAAGAACGCTTTAAATATTATATCAATTTCATAATACAAATTTATTAACTAAGTACCAACTAAATACCCGTTTATATTCCTTTAGAAGCTTTAAAGCATGCTGTTTCCGAGAATTATATTTTAAAGCACTTTTATTTAAACAATTTTTATAAAAAATTGTTCATTTTACATTTTGTCAAATTTCTCGAATACAGATCATTTTAGGAAAATTTTGTATAGAACAAAAATTATAGATAATAACATTATAAGTAACTTTTATTTGAAGAATTTTCTTTTCCAAACGTAAATAACAGATATATTCCATAAAATATAAAAATAGCCTCTCATAAAGTACCTCCCCAGATGTTCCGACTCTGTCCAAAATCTAATCATTTCACCTCAGACCGAAATAAAACTTAAGTTTTAAATTTGGTGTTTTTATTTTTATCCGTTCATGAGTTATCGAGGATACAGACACACACACACAGACATCATCGCGAAAATAGTCAAAACGGATTCAGGGGGCCCAAAATGTAAAAAACCGTCGAAAACTCGAGGTCGAATAAAATCATGATTCCTATACTTTCCTTATCTGTATACAGATAGGAAAGTAAAAATGTTCCACGTTCTAGTTGTCATTTATGTATTAATAAGTATTTTTGCCACATTACGCGCCACGAAAGTCTACACCACTGAGCGAGCAGCATTTTACCTACCTCCTAATAGACGACCCTAATAGACCAGTTAATTACAGCATTTGACAAAGAGACGTTATTGAAAGTAACCACCTCGTCAACTGTAGGACGCCCAGCCAATATTCAAGTAGACCAGTTTATTGCAGCACATCCGATAGCGAGGTTCACGTGATTAACGAACTCGTCAACTTTTTATCTATTTAACTTAAATATATCTTCACGTCGGTTTCACTGCGTTACATGTGACCAAATGAAAACGAAAATTAGAAATGCGCCGTCTAGAATAAAGCAAGAATCCCCTTAAAGTAATATTCCTTTTATAAATTAGAAAATTATTATTCTTATACCAATAAATAATTATTGAATAGTAGCAAAGAAAATTTAACGTAAAATTTAGAATACCTTTAAAATTATTTACCTATTAGGCACCTAAACATATTTTTTAATATTCTATTTTTGGATGACTTATCCAACAGGTAAAAATACAAAATATTAATTTTTTGTTTACCTCTAAACATTAATTAATACCTATATGTATGTACATATATCTAATGTATGGGTTTTTAATTCTGATTTCTCTAAAAATGAATCAGGTGTTGGTAGTTCTGTTGTCACATCTACTAACATCAATAAGTTCATTAAACTTCCTTCCACATGTAGCGTACACACTGGGGAACTATATGGCATATTAGAAGCATTCCGAATGTTAACATCCAATGATCGTCATACTGCAATCTGTACAGACTCACTTTCATCGATCCACTCAATTAAAGATGCGTTCTCGGAACACCCCTTAGTTAACGCAATTCATGACACCTATTCCAACCTCGTGAAAAAGGGAGTGTCCGTCACTATCATTTGGATCCCGTCTCACGTTGGACTTAGCGGTAACGAAGCAGCTGACCGTGCAGCCAAAGAAGCTTCCACATTGGACGTACCGGCTGAAGATATTCATATATACAAAGATATCAAGAGTGTGTTTAGAAAAACAGTTCATGACAATTGGCAAACACACTGGAATATGGAGACCACACAGTTACGAGACATACAACCCATTATTGCTTCCCCCAGATTATCCTCTTTGTCCAGAACAAATGCAGTCATAATAAGAAGATTACGAATTGGACACACTAAACTTACTCACAGCCACTTGATGACAACCAGTGAGGCACCCATATGCACCTACTGTGATAGTGTCTTGACTGTAAAACATATTTTGTTAGACTGTGGCCACTTTTCCGAACAAAGAAGATGAAACAAGCTGAAATCAAGACTAGAAGAAATATTAGGGGAACCTACAGAATACCAGTGCCTTTTCAGTTTTTTAAAAGACGTTCAACTTTTACAAAAAATTTAAATCAAAGTAATTTTATGAAAACAATATTGTAAAACCACTCTGTAGATAATTGTAGTTGTGTCAATGACCTCAGCAGTCGAGACACGTTAATTTTAATAACAAAAAAAAAAAAATTCTGATTTAACTGTTTTTGGAACACCACCAGCTGCAAAAAACATTAAGTAAAATTAAAAGAAATTTTAGTTAATTTACGATATTTTTTGCCATACTATGTTTTTTGTAATTATTATTTAAAAAATTATATATTTTTAGGACAGTGTTTCATTTAGATACCCCTACCTACTTAATGTTAATTTAAAATTTTAAATAATTTTGTTTAACACCATACCAAGTAAATATATAGTAAATGTCAATAAAACAATAAATATTAAAAATCGGAAGGTAACTTGAATTCTCTTGTATTTGAATTTACTTGCACTTGAATTTACCTACATGAAAAAATTATCATAATTATATTACTAAAAAAATAAACATACTTATTTACGTATTTTTTTAACACTCTACGCCACTATCGAGCATATCAGCCGGTCTTTAAAGATCTGTCTTTCTCTCTTCCACTCACTAACAATTTTAAAACAATAACAATCCGAAATTGTATGGGATTTATTATTGAAACATTTTGTCTCTATGTTGTAATGTCTTCGGCTGTTATTATTTTTGGCGAAACAGGGTGGTTAAGTTTGACACAATACTATTTTATATACTTAAAAACAAGATTGTATAATAAGAATGTTTTATTAGGAAGGAGACAAAAAACGGAATGGAATGTAATGAACATTTTTAATACCATTAATTGTAAACGACCGAGTAGAAAAACAGGGACAATATTCAAATGTACCATCAACATAATGAGAAACAGATAAGAGAAATTTAAGGTCTAATCTTAATCTTAGAGGTGTTACTCAAGTGGGTTTGTTATGTACTGAGAGGGGTAACCCCTTCGGTGTTAGATACACGACGCATTATGATTGGCGAGTTAGGAACACGACGATTTATGATTGGCGAATTTAAATAACGCGCGTATTTGTGATAAATGACATTTCATTTGACGTCTTGTTTTCGTTTTTAATTTGTGTTAGATTCAAATGTTACGAACCTACAAATCCAACACTACTGTTCTGCAAATTGTTTTTAATATTTCTAATAGCGCCGGAAATATTGGATGATTCTGTATAGAAATAAAAAATATCTTACCTCGACTTCAAAGTCTTTATTTTCCACGGTGTATTTAATTTTATTCATTAAATAATTTGTATCGAAAGATTTTTCCATTTCTTCGTATATTTTTTCTTCTCTTTGCTTGAGTGGTTTTTCAAAGTTATTTTTCGTAAAATGTCCTGAAATTTGCATTGCTAGAGGTAATCCTAATTTGGCGATAGTGACGTATTTCGGCATTTTGAGGGACTTTCCATAAAAGAATCCAGGTTGGACAACTATAGACAAAATAAAATTATACTTTAATTGTAATATGACTTTTGGTTATAGGGAGACAGCAGTACTGCTGAAGTTAGCCCTATTTAGTGTTTAATTTTAGAATTAAATGGGGTAAAAATTGCAAGTAAATAATAAAGGATATTTTTTAAAATATTAAATATAGTTAAATATAGATGTAACAAACATTCGTATACATGGTCAAAATGATATAAAATGGGAAAAAATTATTAAAATCTGGACATGTATATACATTTTGAGCAAAAAGATTTAAATGGCTAAGTGACAATAAATTGTAAAGTTGTACCTCAAGGAAGTGTATCCAATGTCAAAATATCGGCATTTACTAACACTGAATTTAAAAGGGTGCCTCTAAACGTAACGGACCTACGAATTTCGAAAAAAATTTTTAACTTAAAAATAGTACTAACTGTATATATGAAATAACAAAAAAAAAAATTTGCGGGTTACGCATAAATAACAGAGAAATTTGAGTTTTAACCTGCAGATTTTGGTGTTTCTAACCTAAAATTTTTTCAATTTTCGTGTAATGTATGTGCATGGTTGCTAAGAATTTAAATTTTTAACAAAACCCAAATTAATAATTGACAGAATCGATTAGGTATTTTTATGAATCGAATACTTATATGTTTGATTTTACTGTCTGCTTTAATCTCATCTCACGCAATTATAGTTATGAAAAATATTTGGTAATTATTGCTTAAAAATACAATTTTTTTACGAAACTTACATTTTAGGTTTAGGAAGGAGCGTTTTTTTTTTAAATATACCACCGGAAACCCCATAATTTAACGTTTTTAAAAAAAATTGCATATTAAAGGCTTACGAGGATCATTAACTGATCATTTTTGTAAACTTATTCATTAGAATTTAAAATTATATCTGTCAAGTTATATCAGTTCAAATATTCGCGGTGTTGCCAAGTGTAATTAAAATCAACGAAAAAGAAATTACCCTATTTGTTAAATAGCATTTCCATACACTTTAAAAAGCATTTCTTTAATTTATTTTCAATCACATCTGACGATTTATTTAACCATTTTGATTGAATTGTTATGGTACATAATAATTAAATCATCTATAAAGTAATAAACAAGTACTTTTTGAAAATTTTTAAACATAATTTTATTATCACTTTATATTAGGCATTCCAAACAAAATGGCTACCCGTTTAAAATGACAGGTTATAATAATATGGCAGCACTGTGCGCCTGTTGATTTAATAGGATCAATGCTATAGTCAGTTATATAGATTGATCATCCATGTATTTCAAAATAAACATATGCTCATGCCTTAAAGTAAAAATATAGGAAATTATACTTTTAATATATCCTAAGGTTGGAAATTGGTTTTAAAACACATTTTTCCTAAATCGATTCAAATTAATGCCGCTCGCATACAACACGCTTTGAGCAATCTATATAATTATATATGTATCATCGACTCCGTCAAAGACAACAGGCCCACAGGGTTGCCATATCTAAACTTTGATTTATTTTATACATTTTTTATCCAAAATACTTTTTGTAAACCTATCATAATTCAAAAAAAATTAAAAAATTCCTTGACACACCTACGTCATAAAAGCACGCTCGTCCTCCTACATCCTAACTATCTTAAAAGCGATCGTGTTTGGTAAATGTTTCGAAATTCGCAAATGTCCTTATTACACTTACACCGTAAGAGCACACTTCGCTGGTAGCACCCACCCACCTGCTAACCACTGAAGGAGCAAGCGAGCGAAGCGAGCGCGCCCGGCCGACGTATCGAAATTCGCGCGAATTTCGAAACGTCGGCCGGGCGCGCCCGCTTCGTTCGCTTGCTTCTGTAGTAGTTAGGAAGTAAGTAGGACGAGCGATTCGTGCTCTTATGGTACAGGTGCAAAAAGGGCGCGCCCGGCCGACGTATCGAAATTCGCGCCAATTTCGAAACGTCGGCCATGCGCGCTCGCTTCGCTCGTTTGCTTCTGTAGTAGTTAGGAAGTAAGTAGGACGAGCGATTCGTGCTCTTATGGTACAGGTGCAAAAAGGGCGCGCCCGGCCGACGTATCGAAATTCGCGCGAATTTCTAAACGTCGGCCGGGCGCGCTCGCTTCGTTCGCTTGCTTCTGTAGTAGTTAGGAAGTGAGTAGGACGAGCGATTCGTGCTCTTATAGTAAAGGTGCAAAAAGGGCGCGCCCGGCCGATGTTTCGAAATTCGCGCGAATTTCGAAACGTCGGCCGGGCGCGCTCGCTTCGTTCGCTTGCTTCTGTAGTAGTTAGGAAGTGAGTAGGACGAGCGATTCGTGCTCTTATAGTAAAGGTGCAAAAAGGGCGCGAATTTCGAAACGTCACTTGGGCGCGCTCGCTTCGCTCCTTGCTCCTCTAGTGGTTAGCAGGTGGGTGGGTGCTACCAGCAAAGTGTGCTCTTACGGTGTGTGTAAAAAGGGCATTTGCGAATTTCGAAACATTAACCAAACACGATCGCTTCTAAGAGAGTTAGGACGTAGGAAGACGAGCGTGCTATTATGGCGTAGGTGTGTCAAGGAACTTTTTAATTTTTTTGAATTATGATAGGTTTAAAAAAGTTTTGGAGTGAGGGTAGCCATATGTGAGTAGTAGGGATTAAGTATAAGGGGTTGAGAAAAGGTCCTTTATTTCTCACACGTCAATTTAATTGGCGACCGGTTTCGAAGCTATTGCTTCATCATCAGGCACACCTTGACTATTTCCATAAAGGAAGTGCTACATATAGTTTAACTCGTTTTGTTAGATTCCATATAAAAAAAAGTTTCAAATCGACCAACACGCGAAAACACTCTCACATATAGCAAAGCAGAAATCTAAAGACAAAGTCAACTTCCCTTGAAACAATATTTAGAATCTGGATCGTCTAGAAGTGAACAAGCTATTTTTAATGAAGATTTATGCAAAGCTTTAGTGACTTTAATACGATTAAATAATCCAAATCTCCGATCATTTTTGCAAAAATACTGTAAATTTAATATTCCAGAGCAAAGTATATTACGTTAACGTGGTGTTGACAGTTTGTACATTGAGACTTGTGCAAAAATTTGTGAGATTACCGTTGGAAACCATTTCTACATTATTGTCGATGAAACAACAGACTCTAGTGGTCGATATATAGCTCATTTAATGATAGATTCATTACGCAAAGAAATGCAAATTGGCCCATATCTAATCGCTTCAAAGCACTTAGATAAAACAAATAACTTGACAATAACTCGTTTTATCCAGACAGAATTGTCTTCCCTTTTTCATCCGGAAGCCGTTCCAACAGAAAAATGTTTATTGCTGTTATCCGATGCTGCCCCGTACGCATATTTACACATCCTCCTATATGACGGCACCGGAGTGGTGAAATCTATAGGGAATCAGTAAGCAAGCTTATCTGCATTCTATGAAACAACGGCTGTACTTTTTCGCACACAAGTTGTAATGCTACAACTTTATGTGAATTAACGTTTATTTACTTTAGTGATTATTGTATTGTAAAAAAATATGTTTTTTTGAGTAAATAAACTATATTATTATTATTACTTAAACTGCCGCTAAACGGTCGTGTACTAAAATGCCGTTAATAGACATGATGTCATTCAAATGACGCATTTGAAGTGTTTTGGGATTAAAAAAAAAGAAAATATACAAGAAGAAAACGAAGCAACGACTTGTCGTAGGGTGGCGGCTTCACCGCCACTAAAAAATTTTAACACATACCTGGCTACGCCTACCGGCATAGACGCCAACGGCCTGGTCACAGCTAAAATTGAAAAGTAAAGTCTCACATAACATAAAATTTGTATGGGTGTCTAAATCAATGAGCTTTTGTAGCGTACTTGTAGACTACAAAGGCGAACAGGTTTCAGCACTCCGGTGCCGTCATATAGGAGGATGTGTAAATATGCGCCCCGTACATGGTACAAGCCGCACAAAATTTAAAAATGTTTTATGAAAACCTAATCCATGTTACATGTTTGGCTCATGGCCCTAACAGAGTTGCAGAAGAAATTACGTCTAACTTTCCTTTAATAAATGATTTAATTAGTAATGTAAAAAAATATTTCTTAAAGCTCCTCTAAGAATTCAATTGTACAAAGAAAAATTTCCTGAATTACAGATGCCTCGAAACCTGTGATTACTCGGTGGGGTACCTGGCTTAAAACTGCCTTTTTTACGCAGATAATTATGAAAAAATTAAAGAAATCATATTTGATTTTGATGATTCATCTAAGGGAATATCTAATACAAAGAAGTTGTTCCAAAATCGCATATTTCCAAAGCAATTAGTATTTTTAAAAAATTATGCTTTTGTACCCAAAATTATATTAGATTTACAACAAAAAAATGTACCTTTGATGACTTCCGTAAATTTAATTAAGACGTTTGAATCAGAGTGTAAAAATGTCCAGGGCGATATTGGAATGACGATTTTTCATAAATTTTCAAATGTAATTTTAAAAAATGAAGGATTTATTGTTTTAAAAAACCTTGCTAATATTTATTCTGGTAACTTTGAAGATATTATTAATACTATTCACCCAGATATTTCAGGAAAATTTAAGTTTGCACCTATTACTTCTGTAGATGTCGAAAGGAGTTTTTCTTTGTACAAGTACATACTTACTGATAGGAGAAAATTATTTAATACAGATAATTTAGAAAAACATCTAATTGTTCATTCGTTTTGTAATAATGTTGATTTGTAAAAAAAATTAGTCAATAATTAAATAATAACCTGGGAAACTGGGACAGGAAACGGCAAAGTCCCTAAGACCAATAAGTCTTATGTCCTTCGTACTTAAGACTTTGGAAAAACTGCTAGATAGGCATATTAGAGACGGGATATTGGTTCAAAGGCCAATATACCAAGACCAATACGCCTATAGTGCAGGGAAATCAACTGAAACAGCTCTCCATCAACTAATAAAAAGGGTGGAGAACACACTGAAAAACAAAGAGGTAATGCTGGGAGCATTCTTGGATATCGAGGGTGCATTTGACAATACCTCCGTTGAATCGATCATTAGATCTCTCAAACACAGAGGAATCGAGGACACATGCGTGTCCTGGATCGACTCTATGTTAAGTGAGAGAACTATACACACAACCCTTATAGGAGAGATAACAGCGGCACGGGTAGCGAGAGGATGTCCACAGGGTGGAGTGCTGTCTCCACTCCTGTGGAACCTTGTAGTGGACGGGCTGCTTAGGGCTCTCAAAGATAAGGGACATAGAACCCTGGGATATGCCGATGATCTAGTGATCATGGCACAGGGAAAATACAACACTATAGTAAGAGATCGAATGCAAGAGGCTCTAAATATAGTAACAAAATGGACAGAGGCGGAAGGACTAAACATTAGCCCAAACAAATCTGACATAATTGAATTCACCCGCAGGAGGAAATTGGAGGGACTAGGGCCTCTAAACCTAAGAGGTGCAAGCATCCAGCTTAAGGGGGAGGTAAAATATCTCGAAGTTATGATTGACTCGAGACTTACCTGGAACCAGCATCTAGAAAGAACTACAAGGAGAGCGAAAACCTCATTAATGATGACAAGGCGATCCTTTGGAAAAAAATGGGGGTTCAAACCAGATATGGTATACTGGCTTTATAACATGGTGGTGAGACCCATAATAACGCAGCTTTGGTGTGGTGGCCAAAGACATAGCAAAGGAAAGAAATAACGAGGCTAAGCAAGGTACAAGGACTTGCCTGCCTCGGAATAACGGGGGCAATGAAAACAACCCCCACTGCTGCAACGGAAGCACTAATAGGACTCCCACCTCTTCACTATGTGATACAAGGGGAGGCAAGATTAGGTACTTACAGATTAGGGAATACACTGGAAAATCTTTACATTAGGCCAGGTCTCTCAAGGTTAGTGACAGGAGACGTGCTAGACATGAGATCAGACCACATAACCAAGAGGTACTCTTTTAATACTCCCTTTGAGGTTTTAATACAGAGTGGAGATCACCATAAGGGAGCCCAATGCCCAACGACAGGAACAAACCTGGTATACAGACGGGTCTAAGACTGCGGAAGGCACTGGGGCAGGAGTATTCTCCAAAAACCCTGGTAGTAACCATAGCTATGCTATAGGAATACATTCCTCGGTATTTCAGGCCGAGGTATACGCAATTTTGCAATGTGCAAAAACGAACAATGAAAGAGCTGTCGAAAATCAGCATATTCAAATAATGTCAGACAGCCAAGCGGCACTTAAGGCCATATCGAGTCAGAAAGTTACGTCGAGGCTGGTATGGGAATGCATCGAAGAACTAAGAACACTGGCAGACCGAAATAGAGTAAAACTATTTTGGGTGCCAGGCCACAAAGGGATCGAAGGCAACGAAAAGGCTGACGAACTTGCAAAAAGAGGGTCAGAAGAAACACCGGAACCAGACACAAACCCAGGAGTACCAAAAAGTACAGTCCGGGGTTTTATAAATGACTGGATTCGGGAACAACATATCAACTATTGGGGAAGCACCCCAAAACAGGCACATGGAAAAGCCTTCATAGGCAGACCATGTCCCAAAAGAACTGGAGAACTACTCTTAATGAATAGGAACCAGTTGAAAGTGATAACAGGGTTCATGACTGGGCACGCCCCAGTAAAGGGACACTTGAACAAAATTGGCATGTACAATGGGGAACTCATGTGCCGACTATATCACAAGAAACCAGAAACGGCCAAACACATACTGTGCAAATGCGAAGCTCTAGATCGCAAAAGACAGGCTCTTTTTGGACAACCCCAAGTTGATATAACAACGTATAGAACCGACTCAACCAAGGATCTGTACAAACTTGTACAAGGTACAAAGGTGATAGAGTGGGTGCTATGAACTAACATGGGGTAAAACACAATAAGCCAATAGGCTTCAGTGTTATTCGGAGACACATAGTCAGACGAGCCCAGGAAAAAAAAATATTATTATTAAGTATTATATTAGGTATTGTAAAATAAAATAAATAATAAATATTAATAAACTATTTCGATCAAATAACAAATTACTCTTATTACTATGCATATTTTTAAATTTTTTACGCATATATTGAAGTATTTTGCGGCATATATATGAGCATATTTAACTACTTTTTGGGTGCATATATTCCTAGGTCTACTAATAACGCTATAATTACCTATGGCTCTAGAAGGAGGGAAAGATTTCGGTTTGGTTGCAAACGCATTTACAAAGTACTTCATTCTAAAATAACAAATAAACATTAATGATGTTAACACAATATCAAAAGAGTATTGCGAAAATCTTACAATGTATCTCCGACGACAACATTGTCATGCATCCCAAATAACGTTTTCCTGAAATGAGATATTAAGCTAACCATCTTTTTCGGATAGGGATCATTTGGATCGAAAACTTTCCTATAATTCAGCTTATCAACTTCGGGTGTCGCTGAAGGCATTATAATTTTAATTTCGGATAATCGATCCTGTAGAACATCAGCAGATTCTGTAGTCATGTTAGCTTGTGTAAACGATGTGTAAACGTTGGATTTAAGATTGTTCATCAAACTTTCGACTTCTTTATAGAAATCTTGTTGGTCATTGGCATTCAGTTCTGATATTATGGCAGATGATACTTCGGGCATGAGTTCAGAAGTAATTTCCAAACAATTAAATCCCCTATCGTCGATTTCCTTTTCTATTACGATGTTTTTATAGAGCTCAATGTTGTGCCACAAATCCACTAGTGGTTGAAGATTTCTGGAAGTAAAAATATAATTAAGTGATTTTAACCTACAAAATATGGATCAAACACGATAAAATCTATTTCAATGAAAATAAAAAATTGAAATAATAAGAAATAAAAAAAAACATTAAAAAAAAACATTTTTGGCCGAAGTAATAATTAACTTATTTAAGGTGATCGTACATTTAATTAATTTACGTCTCATTTTTTAATATTTTTTATAAAAAATGTATTATATATTTATTATAATTAAATATACGTATTCAACTTAACAGCGTCCCCGAAGGGGTCGCTGCAAAACATTTAATCAATTTATACCTCATTTTTTAATATTTTTTTATAAAAAATGTATCATATATTTATTATAATTAAATTTACGTATTCAACTTAACAGCGTCCCCGAAGGGGTCGCTGCAAAACATTTAATCAATTTATACCTCATTTTTTAATATTTTTTTATAAAAAATGTATCATATATTTATTATAATTAAATTTACGTTTTCAACCTAACAGCGTCCCCGAAGGGGTCGCTGCAAAACATTTAATCAATTTATACCTCATTTTTTAATATTTTTTATAAAAAATGTGTTATATATTTATTATATTTAAATTTACATTTTCATCCTAACAGCATCCCCGAAGGGGTCGCTGCAAAACATTTAATCAATTTATATCTCATTTTTAATATTTTTTATAAAAAATGTGTTATATATTTATTATAATTAAATTTACATTTTCATCCTAACAGCATCCCCGAAGGGGTCGCTGCAGTACATTTAATCAATTTTCGTCTCATTTTTTAATATTTTTTACATAAAATGTATCATATATTTATTATAATTAAATTTACGTTTTCAACCGAACAGCGTCCCCGAAGGGGTTACTGCAAAACATTTAATCAATTTATATCTAATTTTTTAATATTTTTTATAATTTTTTTTTTATTTATTATAATTAAATATATGTTTTCAACCTAACAGCGTCCCCGAAGGGGTCGCTGCAAACCATTTAATCGATTTATTTTAAATTTTTTTTATTTTTTATAAATTATATACTCAGGGGTCGTTTAATAACAATAAACGACCCTTTAGGGGTCGTTTTATGACAAAAATATCACTCTCACTTTATCCCTCTTCTTCTACTGTACCCTCTACGATATCCCGCTGGCGGTATACGCGATCACTGCCTTGCCGGCGCATGCGGGGCTCTGCGTCGGTCGACCTTTCCTTCCCTAGCTACTCGTGGAAATCTCCGAGCAATTACTACTAGAGGGAGTCTTCCCCCCTTCCCCGCGCTAAATTTTGTTAGCAACATCTACTCCCCCCGAGGGGGAAAATACCTCTTCTGTAATTGGCTTATTTAATCAGCGTTGCCAAGTTTGACAGCGCCAGAAGTTTTCTGTGAGCGCCAGTTCTGACACTTTCTGACACATGTCAATTTCTTATTTGTATTTTACGGAAAATATTATTATTTATAACGTTGTAAAGGTTGTAAATGTATATTTAAGATTTATTATCTCTAATAATATGGTGAAAACATGCTTTATGTGTAAAAGGCCTGTTGAAAATGCTTCTTCAATATAATATCATAAGTAAGTACAGACACAACCTAATTATCAGAGGCGGTGCATTAGGCAATCACCTTTAATTTGCAATTAAACTTCTTTATTTTCTTATCGAAAAATTAAAATTAAGAGCAAGTACACTCCAGCTACGTTCGTCTTCATCCGTCTCATAATGATTATAGTAAAGGTTAATTACTTATTATTATTTTAATATCACATCTTTGTAAAGTTTATTGTTATTTTTTTTTAGGTTTCCTTTTCTTGATATGAGAAAGAAATACATGGTTACAAAATATAGGAATTCAACAAGTGACCACCTGAATAACTTTTTATGCTAATGCATTTTTATTACAGATCTCAGGGAAGGAAAATATTAAAGAAAAATGCAATTTCGACAAAAGAAGTATAATAATCAATCCTGTTACTACTTCTACACTATATTCATCTGCTACTAAAATACTAAAACAGCAAGTAAGTAGAGAAACTTGTTTCTTTCAAAAAGAATGTTTAAGGAAAAAGGCATAGCTATTTTTTTGTTGACACTTTTTTTTAACCAATCTAAAAGACTAATTTTGTGTATTGTTTAAATGTTCATTTTTTGTACTTAATTTGTTTTAGGTTTAAACTAAATGAACTTCTAAGATATGCATGGAATATCTCAAAAGAGCTAAGGAAGGTTTTAAAATTCTTAAGAAAAGTATTCAGAGCCAAAAACATAAAATAGTCTTCCTGTCCAAAATATAAATAGGTATAAATATTTAGATATTATGAGTGATTTTTTATTCTAAGAATATCACATTATTCATGTTTTTTTTTAATTTCCTTAAAAAACGTCCCAAAAAAATGTGAATATTTATTATTGGAGTTAACATCGTTATGCTAAAACAATACTAGAACAACTTAAATAATGTGGATTTTGACTATTTTGAGTTGTGCAGATCATTATGATCTAAAATAATGTTTGTCTGGTGCTATAGTCAGGTATCAAAACATTCATTTATTTAAACACAGTTGCAATATACATTTTTTAAGTTAAAACCTATTAGGACATCCTAAAATTACTTTTTTCGTTTCATGTGAGATTAATTATTCTACATTTTTGTTGGTGAAATAGGATATATTAAGATGTCTTACTGTTTTCTCTGATTATCTAAAAAGTTAGAACAATATACAAAGACTGTTATAACAAAATGGAGATATACCTTTACTGAAACACACAATTAGTCAGTCCAATTGTACGATAATTTAAAGCAGAAATCCAGAAAACTTTAAAAATGTGTTTAAATGTGTTTTTACTATAACAAGGACATAATTATTAAAAAAACTTGGCACATTAACATTGACGATGGGTTTTAATAATATATATTATACAAATCACAACGAACTACACAAAATGACATTATTAATAATTTAGTAATAAAAAAGTTAAGTACAATGATGACATTAAAAGTTGAGTTTCTCGAAATACTTTTTTTAAATTGTCTCAGTAACTACCTAGTATTTTTCTAACACAATGATATTATATGAATGTGCATTGTGTGATATCTTATATTTTAGGAATAAAATTATATATTTTTTTGCAGGTTTCTGTTAACAACGATTCCAAGAACTTTTGAAAATATTAAAACGGCATTTGCAAATATAATTCTCAATTAAGAGCTGTTGATCTAACATTAAATTTTTATTCTCCATAAGGTTATAGCTTCCTAAGAAGAAAGTTTATCAAGACTTACCAGACTCAAAATATCAAAATTTTTCCAACCAATTGATGGTTCTACTGGTTTCCATAGGAAAATTCTCCTCGAAACTACTAAAAGAAAAGTGGCAGAGGCAACCGAAGAAGGCAAAAAAGTCTTTTGCAAAACAAAAACTAGAAATTTGTTTAAGAATCTATTGTTTGAAGTTTTACCATTAATAATTTTTGATAACGATTTAAGATTATAAAGTTCTATTATGAATTTTACTCTTTGATAACCTATGTTTAAATTTTTATTAGGACCAAAATAAATTATAATTTTCACTTCAACTACAAAAACCCTCATAATATTAAAAAGGGGAAAAACGTTAGATTAGTTATGTTCAGGAATAAACTCTTTAAACATTTATCTACTTAAAATTTGTTACTTTTAGAAGGTATGTTATTAACTTTCTATTTGTACTTCTATTAATTTATTTCATTTTATTATCTGTTGTATTTTCAAATTGATTTTGATATTAATCTTATCTATTTGTATATTTTTTATACTCACATATATGTTTTTTTCATTAAAACAAACGTTTATTAGCTTATTAAATATAATAAATTCATGTTGTTTTATTATATGCTTGTATGAATGATTACTTTTATTTCCTTTTAAAAATGAATTTCGAAGATAAAGCCGAAACGGTGAGTGAGAATCAAAATTAGACGAAAGTGACGATATTTACTGGAGCTTTCATCTACACGCTCCTTTTTCTAGCCATCTACACCTGAGCCAGCAAGATTCGTCTTCCCTCCATCCTTAAATTCTCCAGATTTACAGAGAAAACGCCGTCCTCTTTAACATATCCAGACCTTCTTTGATGGGGACTATACCACTACATTATCAGCTTTATTTGTTATCCCGAGCAATTTAAATGCATTCGTAATTGCTCATTCTCACCTCTTCTCTTGTAGATTCCGTAGTCAGTTTTCTTATTTTTAGTTACGTTTGCACTGCTCTTTTATTTTCACAGCTTTAATTCTCTAATGCTGTAACGCTACAATATGGATCCATTTATGTGGTTTATACTATTTAATGTTATTCGTAAGTGACCAACCTATTATAATAATTAAAGATTATTGTATTACAGGCCTGAAGATGTTCCTGTAAGGCCGAAACTAGTCGCTCCTGTATTTATAATAAAATTTATTTTAAGGTTTTATTCTTCAATTGAAAAAATTAGACCTTTACAGTGATTTTGTTTCTTTTTCTGCATTAGACATATATATGACGGTATTCATTTTAAAAATAGTAAAATTAGCAAATTTTTTAGTTTTTTTTACAATTAAAACGTTTGGACAATGTGTGTTTTTATAGATAAATGATACGCCACTGAACAAGAAGGATGTTTACCTTCCCCCTTGTGCCCGCTTCCTCACTTCCTCTACATATGTTGCTAACACAACAATCGCCTACAAACTCGTTTTCACGCTCCCTCTATTAGTAATTGCTCGGAGGTGGAAACCATATGGATTCACACAAAAACCCGAAGAGGCTGGACGTCAACGCTCACCTCCAGAAAAGCTCAACTCCGGCGCAGGAGGCTGTACAGCGACGATCACCCCAAAAAAAGGAGGATGGATGTTAATGCTCATTTCCTGTAAAACAGCCCATCTCCAAAAAAAGAGGATGGACACAGTAGTTCACCTCCACAGAGAGACAAGAGAATCTCTGGGTCTGAAGCAAAGAGTAGGAAAATGGATAAGCT